ATTTTTACCTTAGCCCTCGTGAACTGTGTTTTTGCAACAACTTTCGACCCTGAGTATCGATTTATCTTCGATGAAGAATTCTTCGTTCCTCAATGCCTCTTCCAAGATTCCAGTAATTGTAAAAGCTAATTGGCAAAGGTAGGCTTGGTGTTTGATCAATGATCTTGTGTGTTTTAATCTATGGTTTACCATAAATGTTTATAGCTCGATTACCAAATCTAAATTTGAATGAATCTAAGGATCAAATAATCTTTAAATCAATGAAAGTGATTTGGATCTTCAAAGGAATGTTCTATATCGAATAATTATGATTTAACACACTCTGGGACGTTCATAGAGAATGATATATACACGGGAAAGTGTTTGAGATGAAAAGGAAATGAAAAATCAATATTTGAAATAAAACAATTTTTTGGAAATCGACACCTCGCTCAAGTGATAGGCTAGCAGTAGACAAGCGATAGCTGAGTAGTCATCGGTATTTTCATCACAACTTTCTCTCCCGACGTTAGGTTGAGGTGATTCAAATTGCATTGACAACTAACTCAAAGGGGTAAAATTCCTCTTGAAATATCATTCTCTAAAATGTTTTCTTTGTGAAAAATGCTTTGCATGAATGAAGGGATAACATCAAGAAAATATATATATTTACATAAATGTGTGTGTACAGACATTGAAATCAAATTTCAGATGTGATTAAATCAAAGAGTAATTTAATTTAAATAATAAATCTATTAGCAACCATAAAATAAAAAATCTTAATACCTTATCATCCATGGTAAGACTCGAATTTAGGAATATAGAGAAGAGGATACGTGATTTGAGGTGGCCAACTTCAAGAACAAATTGGATGATATTAATTTCTAATGGCATTTAATGGGTGTGTAACTTCTTCTAATTACGCAATAATATCCTAATTGGCCTATTAACTTATTTAGTCCTTAAATCAATTTAATTAATTTAATAAATTTCCATTATTAACTATCTTGTCATTATTAAATTAATTTACACCAAGTTCATTAAAAACGGATACCTTCCAACTTGATGTCGAGGTTCAATACAAAATCGAATCAAGTACATTATATAGTTTAATATGAATTAAATAAAATATAGACATTATAATTGAATTAATAGGCACGTGATTCATCTACGAAGTCTCATGCGCATTTCACTTCAACCAATATCATTAGTCACGATTACAATAATTAAAAGAATACAATAGTAAATATAACATAAATGGAACTAATCAAGATAGGCATAATAATCACAAGGAATAAGAATGTGGAGTTACACTAAATATATCCAAGAACTTTGCAAACTATTATTCGAGCTTCTTCTTTTACAATCTTTGAGAAATGGAATATGAGACACGTGTTTTGATGGGAACGATTCTCTTAACTTGTGGACTATCTGAATTATGCTTTGAGATTATTTTTACAAATTGTTCGATTAATCCACTTGCTCCTCACCTGTGAAATGTACCATTTCATTTGACATTATCTGTCTCTCAACTATAATTTCTTGAAATTTGAGCCCTACTCTGCATAGTAATCACCTGAACGATTTCACCCTTAGGCCTTTTTCGAAGCCTTTGAAAGAAGGGAAAATGAGGTATGTCTGTTCGAATTGGAGTTTAAGCTTTCAAACATAGATCTTCTTTTATTTCATTCTCTAAGACACTTATGATCATTAGTTTGAGATTTGTCTTAATATCACTTGACAAGATACCTGGTGGTCTTTCTGAAAGTGTCCTGACTATTTGTGCATCTAATTTTTCAATTTTTTTTTTATAGCAAATCGTTGAATCTACAAGTTCTTCTCGATCTTTTGCAGGAATTAAGCTCATTCTTCTGCCATTTTACCGAAGTCTTTTACAAATGCAATCCCACTTGTAAAATTTCAATTATTAAGAGAAGCTTTGTGAGTTCACAAACAACACATTAAGGAGGAGAATATAGAGATTAATTTATTTGTTTATACAAGCAAAGTGTACTACATTAATTCGCACTAATTAATATCTAAAACAATTACTCACTTTTATGGTTAATGTCTATTTTTCTTCTACTAAGCATACACACCTGCCCTACATTAATGGGTGGCGCAATGCCTCTATGTTATCTGTGTTTGACATCAAGAAAATGACATTATTTTTCTTGAAATGCCTTCACAACTTTTCTTCCAATGTCGAGTTTGTTGGGGTCCTCAGTTATATTGTTGTTTGTATATGGTTGAGAGTTACAAACCAAAAAATGGAGAATGAAAAAGGGAAAAATCATAGCTAATTATTGAGATTGCTGTAGTTACATTCAAATCAATTTTATTAATTTTGCAGGTCCAACATATGTTTGAAGGAAGCGATGTTTTTTTTTTTTTTTTTTTTAAGTTGCAACCTTTTATCCATATTCTCCAATTCTTTTTCCATTTTGTAATGTAAATTTCTAATTATTTAAGTGGTGGCGATAGTTTTTTATTAAAAAAGTTGCAGCCTTTTACCTATCTTCTCCAATTCTTTTTCCTTTTTGTTCATGTGTGCTACTAATAAATGAAGCGGTGGCGATGGTTCTTGGAAAGGTTACTGCTTGTTTTTTATAATTGCTATTTAATTTAGATTACTTTTTTTCAGATAAAATTTGTGATGATAACAGGTCATAATGAAACAACAGAAACAACAGGTTACATTCAACACATTAGGGCTCTTGATTTGAATTTAGGGATCAATCGAGTTGGGAAAGATGCATTCTCACAATGGTAGGGCTCTTCGCGATTTGGGCAAGAAAATGGAATGGAAATTGAGTTTTGATTTCGTTAAGTCTTGGGTGGAGGAATTGTGAAGTCGTGTATAGTTAAATGAATTTTAATTTTGCTAATGTGGAAGCTGAGTTAGGACTTGCACGCCACACCACTTCGAAAAATTTAACTAGCCAGATCATCTTACAGTCATCCACGTAGGCTATAAACCTCAAAGAAGATGGGTTCACATGTGGATGCTATATGAACATGCATTTTAACTTTAAATAGTAACTTAGTTTTGAAATTAGATAGGACTTTTATGTTCCAAATTTTTCATGAAACTTGATTTCTATATCCAGACTTATACCCTTAGGATATTCCTATAATTTTTCAAACACGTCATTCAATTTATTATATAATTTTTATTGTCCTGGGAATGGTTCTTTATTTGATAGTCTTTATCATATTAATTTACAAAACAATATCACTTATAGTCCAATGCATGTTCATACTGGCATTAAATGGTGTAATATTAGCAATGATTCCTCTACGTTGGGGCATTAAAAATTAGGACATATCTCTTTAGATAAAATCAAAACATTAGTGAATGATAGGGTACATGGTACTCTAGATTTCACTTATTTTAACACATTTGTAGATTACATTAAGGGAAAGCAGACCAACAAGTCCAAGAAAAGTGCCAACATGAGTTCAAACTTATTAAAAATCATACATACTAATATATATAGTACAAACATGGACTTACATGGTCAGAAATACTTCAACACCTTTTATTAATGATTACTTACTTACATCGCCACACATGGACTCACATGTGCACCTTAATTTATTTGAGAAAATATATATTTGTAGAACCAAGAATAAAATATATGGTCTTTTCATTAAATAGTGTTATTATATAAAGAATAATTCTTGAGATGCTAAGTACATTATAGTACATGGAAGATAATACTCGCTATTAAAGGACTCATCGCCATGATTCATTTGTTTATTTCTTAAGAAGGACAATCAATAAAATTAAGTTGAGACGTTGAATTGAATCTATTAACCAAGTGGGGGAATGTAACAGATCCATTTCACGTTTCATCTCTTCAACGGTCAATTGTTCCAACATTCATTGAGATTTCAATTTCAACATTTATAGCAGCCTTAATTCTACCATTGATTGAAAAGATTGGTAACCTGAGCCATAACTTGATGGTGTTTTGGTTATAAATATAAATGGGTTTTGGTCCTCAAGCTCAATACCTGAAAATACAATATACATCATCAATTTAGAGTGTAAAGAGCTTGGAAGTGCCATTACCTAGAACAAAGAAGAACTTTTGGAACAACATCAGTGACCGGAGGTATGAATTTGATTCGTGAGATTTTTCGATTTTTCAATCCAATTTGTTTCTGCATAATTGTTTGGATCAATTTTTATCTAATAGAAACTAGCAGCCACATACCTCTGATATTTAAGTTGATAAAATTGTTAAAAACGTACAGTGAGAATAGAAGAAGAAATTTCCAAATACGTTCCTCTCTTTTTTTTTTTTTCTCTTGTTCCTTCGTTTTTTTCCTATTGCTATCTTTTCTTCTCTATATCCACCAGATTTATACCATTGTTTTTGTGCTACAGATTTATACCATTGTTTTTGTGCTAAACTATAAAATAAACCTTTGATGGGGGAACATACTGAAATATTCTCACTTTTGCTACACAAAGATACTGAAATATTTTCACTTTTGAAATCGAGAATATCTTCAATGATTTGTTGTTATTTTCCAGTTATGCCGTTCTTTTTTACCCAAAGATCAAGATTAGATCTTCAATTGATTGAAATCTTGTATTTCCCAACTGGATTTGTCCAAAATTGTGATGAATTCCTCTCTTTCTGTGTAAGATTTTATGAATTCTATGGTATAAGAGGTTTTGATAGGTGAATGGTATTGTTATGTATTTATAAGGGTCGAAATTAGATCGAAATTCAAGTTGAAATCAATTTCCAAGAGGTAGTCGACTCAAAATAGAAAACTACCCCATCAGGTCCAAATTGAACCATGCGTAAGCACGGGTGTGGACCTTGCACATGCATGGCTTATACCTTTTTGCTTCAGTCTCTGCAAGAATGTGCCTTGCAAACGCATTAGTAAGGGTGGTGCGTATGCAACACCATCATGTTTGGGCTTTTGCATTTTAGTCCAAGTTTTTATTCGATGTTCAGCTTGAGTCCTTTTTTCGTGCAATTTTCATCCTTTAACTTTTAATTTAATCCAATTTCAAGTTTGGAGTTTTCTCTGCTGTTCCTTTGCTTTATTTTTCCTATTGCTATTTTTTCTTCTATATTTCCATCGGATTCATACTGTTGTTTTTGTGCTAAACTGAAACAAACAACCAAAATAAAATAAACCTATGATGGGGGAAACGTATGGAAATTTTCTCATGAGTATCTTCAAATAACATATTAGTGAAATAAAATAACTTAGTTTCCAATCCATGGTATTTTTCCATGATGTTTGAACTAGGAAATATCCAATCCTTCATGACATACCAAAGTTTTGATTTACGATCTTCTGTAGAATTAAGTTCCCAGCCCTCGTGGATTTTCTGTTACAATTATTTGCATGCTTGCTTAAATCTTGAATGGTTTTCAAAAATCCGTTCACCTTCTTTTGAATCTCCTCCACTGCAATAACCATTGAGCCCTCCTCCCTCATAGCTGAATCTACACTCTCCAATAACGCCTCAATCTCATTCCGAAACCTGTCAACATCCATTTTCTCTATAACAGTCCCAATACACATTAAACAAATTATCACCCTTTTCGCTCTTAAATCAATCATGCGCTTCTTAAAAATCGAGTCAAGCCATTTCACCATTGTCCATGAAGGCACAGTGGCTGCCGCAGCCAGAGCTGTCACTACAGGCGGGGCGATGACTGCAGCTGCCGCCACCGAGCATGTCAAGACCGAGGCAAATGCACAGATAGATATCACATTAGAGACTTTCCTCCTTATCTTCATTTTCCCCAACTTCTTGTCTAATTGTCTCTTCTTTGCTTCCAATTTCTCTGTCATCAAATCTTGCTGCTTATTAACCGAGGTAAAGAGTTCCAAGAACTCTATGAAGGGATCCACTGCCGCCTTTAAACTCCTTAGTTCCTCTAAAGTTCTCGGATAAATTTTCACACCCCCTTCTCCCGAAATACTGTAATGTTCTTCCTTAAATACTCGAAGAGCTACATTCATTATCGACTCGATATGACCACCACGCTTAAGACAGACATCTAGGGCGGTGCAGAATTTTAAGGTTTGATGATGTTTTTGGAAATAATAATCAACAAGATTCGATAATTCGATACTGTCTTTCTTATTTTCGAGAAAGATTTTTACCACTTCTGGGTCTATTTCAAGAAGGTATTCAGTGACTTCCTGGATAGACTTGAGGGAAAGGGAGGGAACCAGACGACCAAGGGCTATGGAGTTAATGGCCCTCGTAAATTCCGGGAAGTCTCCTCTGTGTTGGAGCTGGAGGTCGTTTGAGCTTCTGGCTTCCTCCGGTACTGGTAGCTCCGGCGGCGGCATGAGGTCGCTGCAGCTGTATTGCTCAGTTCTGATGATCATGTGATTGCCGTTTCTTAACCAATTCTTGAATTTTACTTTTCTGAAAAGGGAAGGATTGCTATAATTTTTCACTTCACAGACAGTCAAATGAATGTGATATTTTATAGTCATCTGGTTCGTGGGGATGAGGATATTTCTTAATCATTACGTTTATCGACGTGTTCAAGATTGGTGTCCTTTTTTCGTGGCAAATCTTTCGTGGAAATTGTTCTTCTTTTAGTCTTGAGTTTACTTCGATCATCTGATCGTTGGCTAGTCTAGTATAAAGTCATCCAATGGCAGTCGCAGCAATTTTTAGGAAATTTAAGACGAGAAATGCCGGCGGAGTAGTAGAAACGAGTTCAAGAAGCTGCACTGCTGCAATCAAAGTAATTATCTAGGAATCAGATGGAGCTCTCCTCGAAATATTGAAGTAATTACAGTTGTTCGCAGTGGTCAAATTGATTATCTTCTCCAATGATCTCGCATGTGAAACACTTGGAAGTGCCACTTACGCCAACTAAAATTCCTTACCTAATTATAGGCTTCTGGGTTGTTGGGGACAAAGATCTTTCTCAATCATTACTTTCCAGGTTGGTGTCCTATGTTGTGGCAAATCTTCCTGTGGAAATTGTTTTTCTTCAGTTTTGACTTGACTTTCGAGTTTCGAGCATCTGTGTCGGCGGCTGTCATAATATTGTTCAAAATCGTTATTTGGTAAGTGGGCCTTAAATGGGCCATGTGGATGGATGAAATGTGGATTAAATTTGAACTCAAAACTTGGGAATAGATTTTTGGGAAGAAAATCATATCTACCTAATTAAAATATAATAATTCATTTTATAAAATAAAATCCAAATAATTACCCAAAATACTTTAAAACCTCATTAGAATCGGAAAAGTACGGAATAATAAACTTTCCTTTTTGTATATATAACTGGAAATTTTCGAAGACAGGGAAAACGTGTGGAATTAAATTAAAAACCATAACATATGTATATTCAATTTCAAAATTAAATTTCTTGCTACAATAATATTAATAAATGAATTGAGAATATCCACCATCGGAGGTTTAGAAACATTCATATGACAAAATATTTCTTCAAGCCAGTGCATCTATTTATAAAATCTTTCTTCGAGGACGGACACTAAGATATATGTTGGACCCTCTTGCAAAAAACCATGTTTCTATTTTTGAGGATGTAGTTCGGACAAGATGTTTCTAGAACACATTGACAAGGTAGGACATTCTTAGGATACATTATGAACGTACAGTAGATATGCTTAAGAACACTTAGGAATCAAAACATGATGATTTCATTAGACTCACTGTCATCGACCATGAAGGATTGATTTCATTGAGGTAATCATCATGTTTGATGTTCGACGAGTGTTCAAGTTGAATTGTGTCTCAGAAATAATTTGCAAAATGATTACAGGTAATATGTTCATATCAAACTTTTAACCAAGATTTCTGCAACTTTGGATACTCCATATTATCTATGTTTTTTAGTTCTATTTTCTTTTGGTCATTTTTTGGATATAAATGTGTTTCTTGACCAGTAGCAATGGAATGATCGGGGGTTGTTTACTACCTTGCTGTAATTTAACATATACACACTTAAATCGTCGCTTGAAATATAACTGAGGTATACATATCACATCTGACTCACAATGTTTTTAAAGCATTGGAACATTGATCAGTCGAATCTTGTTACATATGTTAATGTGATATATTCTTTACTTTTGATAAAAATATAATTGTTATATTGTTTGATTTTCACTTTCCACTCTGAAAGTTCTAATTAGTCTATTTATTTATTTATTTAGACCCAATTATAAAAATAAGCAATTAACAAGCAACAAGTTAGTTTTAATTGTTTCTAAATGATAAGTCAATCAAGTTCAATTATTCCTATGGTTTGAATGCCATAATTAATAATTAAATTAGTAAAGAATAACAAAGATGATCACGAAGAAACTCCAACTAAGTAAAAACTTTGAGCATTTTGTTAGTCAGTAGTCCACTATAAATCAAAATAAATTTTCAGCACGGACCAGGCCCGTCTATCCCCACAAAACTTCTAACTTCAATTCCTATAGTCTCCCTTAATCCTACAAGAGGTGTGCTCCTTCAAAACAAATTCCTACTCCCAGTTTATACATTAGCCCTCCTAGACTGTGCTTCTGCAATAGCTTCCGTTCCCTATTATCGATTTATCTTCAGGAGATTAAATGAAGAATTCCTCGTTCCTCAGCGCCTCTTTCCAGAACTCTAATAACTCTAAAGACTAATTGGCGAAGGTAGGTTTGGTGTTTGATCAAGATCATGTGTGTTTTGATCTGAAGTTTACTATGAATGTGTATAGCTCGATCACCAAATCTAAGTTTGAATGAATCTATGAATCAAATAATATGGTGGTTGAATCTTGAAATCAATGAAAGTGATTTGGATCTTCGAAGGAATGATCTCTATAGAATAATTATGATTCCACAAGCTTTGGGACCTTCATAGGGAATGATATATATAAGGAAAAGTGTTTGAGATGAAAAGGAAATGAAAATTCAGTGTTTAAAACAAAACAAAATTTTGAAATCGACCCCTCGCTCAAGCGGTAGGCTAGCGATACACAAGCTGCTGCTGAGTAGTCGTCGGTATTTTCATCACAACTTTCTCTCCCAACATCAGATTGAAGTGATTCGAAAATTCCTAACTCAAATGGCTAAAATTCCTCTAGAATTAGCATTCTCTGAAGTGTTTTCTGTGTGAAAATGTGTTGCATGAATGGAGGGATAACGTCAAGAAAATATGTAGATTTACATTTCAAATGTTATTAAATCAATGTGTAGTTTTTCACATAACTTAATTTAAATAATAAAACTATTAGCAACCATAAACTAAAAATCTTAATACCTTGTCATCAATGGTAAAACTCAGATTTAGGTATATAGAAAAGAGGATAAGTGATTGGGGGTGGCCAGCATCAAGAACAAATTGGATGATATTAATTTCTAATGACATTTACTAATTAAGCAATAATATCCTAATTAGCCTATTAACTTATTTAGTCCTTAAATCAATTCAATTAATTTAATAAATTTCCATTATTAACTATCTTGTCATTATTAAATTATTTTACACCAAGTTCACTAAAGACAAATATCTTCCAACTTGATGTCTAGGTTCAATACAAAATCTAAAGTGCATTATTTAATTTAACAAGAAATAAATAAAATATAGACATTATAATTGAATTCTACAACCAATATAGTTATTCACGATTACAATAATTTAAACAACACAATAGTAAATATAACATTAACGGAACTAATCAAGATAGGCATAATAATCACAAGGAATAAGAACGCAGCATTACACTAAATATATCCAAGAACTTTGCAAACTATTATTTGAGCATCTTCTTTTACAATTTGTGAGAAATGGGATGGGAGACACGTGTTTCAATGGGAACAACTGTCTTAACTTGTGACTGTCTCAATTATTCTTTGAGATTATTTTTACGAATTGTTTGATTAATCCACTTGCTCCTCATCTGTGAAATGTACCATTGCATTTGACATCATCTATCTCTCAACTATAATTTCCTGAAATTTGAGCCCCACTCTATATAGTAATCACTTGAACTATTTCACCTTTAGGCCTTTTTCGAAGCCTTTGAAAAAAAGGGGAATATGAGGTATGTCTACTCAAATTGGAGTTTGAGCTTTCACACATAGATCTTCTTTTATTTCATTCTCTAAGATACTTATGGTCATTAGTTTGAGATTTGTCTTAATGTCACTTGATAGGATACCAGGTGGTCTTTCTCAAAGTATCCTGACTATTCGTCCCATCCAATTTTTCAAATTTTTTTATAGCAAATCCTTGAATCTACAAGTTCTTCACGATCTTTTGTATGAATTTACCGAATGTTTTTACAAGCGCAATCCCACCCATAAAATTTCAAATATTAAGAAAAGCTTTGGGAGTTCACCAACAATACATTAAGGAGGAGAACACAAGGATTAATTTGTTCATTTATACAAGCAAAGTGTACTACATTAATTCACACTAATGAATATCTAAAGCAATCACTCACTTTTATGGTTAATGTCTATTTTTCTTTTGCTAAGCGTACTCATCTGCCCTACATTAATTGTGGCACAATGCCTCTAGGTTATCTGTGTTTGACATCAAGAAAATTATATAATTTTTCTTGAATACCTCCACAACTTTTCTTCCAATGTCGAGTTTGTTGTGGGCCTACCTGAAAACTCCATTTCCATATGAGTTTTGTGGACCTTAATTCCACTATTCACCTATCATTTTTTCTTTCCTTATTGAAGATTAGATGACACCAACAAACATAGGAAAAATAAAAGTAATATTATTCATAGCAATAGTCATCTTATATGACAGTATAATATTTTAGTTGTAGTTATCTTCTATGAAAATATAATATTTGAGGCATTAATTTGTTATTTGAGACATCATAATTATATTAAACTATTGCCTTAAATAACAAGGTGCCACATATGTGACTATTGCAGTTGTTGACTCTAAATACGATTACTAGAAAAATAAACTCTGGTATATTGAGTGAATAAATTATACATAATTAAAGAGACTGACATCCAAAATATATGTAAGTTATCTTGTCTTCCAATAGTTCTATATAACCATTTATCATGTCAAATTTTATTTAATTGATTGTATCACATATAATGGTTCATTCAAGAATGTTGATGAGTTAGGACTATCATCGATCGTATTGACTGCAATAGCGAAATCGTTTATTAATATTTAATTAAATTAAAATTGACTGTTGGGCCTCCATAATTCACCATTAAATTATAATTCATTTTTCTTTTTCTTCTTATCAATCACATATTTATTAATAAAATAATATTACATGTAAATCCAAAAAAAAACTCTTTTTTTTTTAGCTACACATTCTCCAAAAAAAATTACTATTTCTCTCATTATAATATTGAATAATGAGGGTCAAACAGGAGCTAAGATTAATACATTAACAAAGTAGGGCAGGTTCCATTAAACAAATATAACATATACAAAGTTTAATTATATAAATACCCGTGTATACATATATCAGTAATATAAGTAAATTTAT